CTAAAGGAAAAATCCAAGATTTAACTTACTATATTAAAGGATTTTATGGTCAAAATATTGAACAACACAAGAAGCATCAAAAAATGAAAGAAATACACAGTCCAAAAAGAACTGGTTGACGTTCAACCATTTCAGGAGGTAGCATATGATCACGAGCTGCTGATATAGAAAGAAGTCCAACTGCACTAAAGACACTAGCAAAAAACAAGGCACCACAAGTGTGAATTGTTACAATCTGCTGAACTGGACTTTTGCTTATGGATGCAGTTGCTCAAAATTCCAACTGTAAATGAAGGGGCCTTCATATCAAGAAACAAGCTTGTTTCCTCAGTGTACTGGGTTACTAGGGACAGACAATTCAGACATTGACTATCAAAAATGGTGGGGGGAGGGCTATAAAGGCATGTAGTGGCTGGTTTGCAAACATTCATGAGTGTGCTTAGTTTCAGAATGAGGGGGTAATGTAGAATCCTTACTGAATAGTTTTCCGGTTTCCTGATGAATCTGGTGAAAGGGGATGGGGGATGATGGTGATAGGAAAAAGGAAGAAGAGAAATCTTAAAAAGGTCTTTTATAGACTATGCAAAGGGATTCCACTGTGTGGATTATAGCAAATAAATTACGGATTAACGTTGTCAAGAATGGAAATTCAACACTTAATTATGCACAAACCTCTACAGAGACCAAGAATAGAACAAGGGGATTTACCGTATTTAGACAATCTGTAACTAGGCAAATAATCTGAAAACCCTGGGCTATATGAAGAAGAACATGGCATTAGGTTTGGGGAAAGACTCATTAACAACCTTGCTTGCTGAAAGTGAATAGGATTTGAAGCACTTAACCAAAGAAGATCAAAGACTACAGACTTCAATATGGATTACACATCAATATAAAGAAAATATAACTTACAACTGGTCCAATGAAAAACATCATGATAAGGAGAAAATATTGAAGTTATCAAGGAATTCATTTTGCTTGGATCCACAGAAATAAAATGACTTATTACACTGGGCAAATCTGAAAAAGACATCTTTAAAGTGTTAAAAAAGTAAAGATGTTGGGTAAAAAGGGGAATAATGTTAAGATGCTTGACTGTCTTTTGAATCTTGGTTTCCCTTGCCCACCATTGTAAAATAGACGCTTGAGGGGGAGAGAAAGGAATAGCCAGAAACATCACAATAGAAAGCTTGTAAGTCCGTCTTCAGCCTATAACTGATTGGAATACCTTAAAGGGGGCTAGAAATATCCCAGTCAAGAAGGCTTCCTGTGGAGCCTTTGCACTGCATAAGACCATAGGTAGAATCCTGAACCCCATTCAGAATCGTCTGAGGTGGGAAATTTCCACTTGAAAGGACAAGCAGACCAGCCTGGAGCGACTAGAAGAACAGAAGAAACTTCGTGAAAGGCCAGCAGGAAAAATCAAAAACAATAAGGGCAGTCTGATTGTTTATTAGAAGAACAAGCTAGCTTTTCACCTGGGAGCCATCAAGGCAAGTGGTCGGGTCCCCTCAGAGCAAATGCCCTTCCAAGACTAAGACTCATGGGGAATACATGAATAGGCATGTGGTCTGGCTGGTGAACACACTGGTCACTGATAAGGGGGAGAGGGGGAAAAACAGCAATGAAGTGGTGAGCTAAGTCCAACCACATTCAATACTCTGTGGACCCGATAGGGACCTGGATATCCAGCAGTATGGCAAGACCCAGAGACTACTTACTAGGCCTAGAGACAGCAACATGACCACAAAGGACTAAAGCAGAGTGTGAAGCATCCACCTGATATGAAGTGAGGGGAGATGCACAAGAACACCCATACTTGCAGATAGTACCTACTTGACCTGGTTTCAATGGCTGTATGATCAGAACTCAACTAGAAGAAAGAACGGGGCAGAGGGGAAAAAAGAGTGACCCACTACAATTTGATGAACGTTACCTATACTTATGGATGTAGTAGCTCAAAAA